ATCTCATAGCATATATAAACAAAATCAATCGCATAGCTTCAAAATCAACAACGTTTTAAATTAAATTCGATTTTGAAACAATAGTCAGTTCTTTGAATTGCATATCTGTAAACAAACACGTTTTATACTGGCAAAATTGGCTTCCGCTAGAGCCGGCAAAATAGCAAATACAAAAAAATGTAGCAACGGCCAAAAATAAAAGAGCTACCAGTAGATTTGTTTGCTTTGCGTTTTTATTACATACAAATTTTTTAGAACTATGAAATTGTACGTAGACGTTCTGGTTTATAATTAGGGAATTGTCATTTGAAAAAAAAGAATTGTGTAGAGCAATTATTTCACCATCAGCTGTAATATTTCCGAAAAGAATTGTAAGTCCTGAAGAAGTAATTGAATACTTAAATAACGATAAGCCACTTTTTCCATCCAAAAATATAAATATGGAGCCAAATCATATTAACAGGCAGATATTTATATGGGCGGATGAGGTCAGTCTGAAACAGAAAATTGTAAAAAATTGGAATTTTATGGTAAAAACTTGAACAGTACGCTGAACTTGAATTGGTTGACTTTTGCAATACCAACACTAATATGAATAAAACTATGTTTGTTGATACAGACTGTGAGTCATGTCAAGAATGTTTGATAGATATATGGTTGAAAGGAAAAGCATTGTTAATTCATCCTCTTCCAGACGGGGTAATGGGCGAAACATATGGAACGCCACAGCTGTCTTATGTGGAACTCTTATATTACGTTATGTTTTTTTATAATTACTTGATGATATGTTGTCTTTACATAATGATGTTTTGATATAACTCAATATGGCATAGTCATTACTTAATGCTATTTCGATATTTCACGATATGGTTTCGTATTGACTTGATATAGTTTTATCATTACTTGATATGGTTTTGTCATTAATCAATGTGGCTTTGTCATTAGTCGATGTGGTTTCACCATTATTTAATGTGGTTGTTTCATTAGGCAATGTGGTTTTAACATTACTTGATGTGGTTTTGTTGTTTCGTGATGATCTTTCGTAATGATGATTTGCCAATTCTTTATATGGTTTTAACATTACGCAATGATGTTTCAAAATTTGACGATTTGACACTACATGATGTGTGTTTTAGTATTTGATGTGGTCCATTCATTCTTTGATATGGTTATCACATTACGTGGTGGAGGTAAAACCACGTGACCATTTCGGAAAAAACTAATTCTATTTTTAGATCATAGATTTCCATGTTTTATGTGCCTTGGATGAGTGTGGCCATCCATCGAGTTAGAGTTTAAATTATAAAAGTTTCGAATTAAACTTAGAGTTTAGATTAAAGTTTCGAATTAAACTTTGAGTTAAGTCTTCGATTTAAGTTATAATTCAAGCCATTATTACACTGAATAAAAGTTCTAGTAGCATTGAGTTTCGGGTTCAATTTCAAGATTGAGTCAAAGGTAGCGTTCGAGTTACAATAATGAATTTGAGGAGCCTTTTGGGGTAGAGTTTGAGTTAGAGTCGAATATGAGTTTCGTTTAGATTAAGATTTCGAGTTAAAATTGGAGTTATCTAATATGAGTTCGTCACGGTATTTAAATTTTTCTATCGAAGATCAAGGGCTTTTGCTCGGGCTTCCGAAAAGAGGACTGAGGGGTATTTGTACAAAACATAAACAATGTTACAGTATACAAAACACAACATAGAAATTGAAATAAAGTTGGATGTGTAATGATTGCCAATAAGATTACTATCTACTAAAGTTTAAATGTCACAGTAATGGATGTAACCAATCATAGGCAACCGTACAGCCTTCAACGCACCGTATAGTAAAAAAAGGCTACAAAGGCCACCACGTGAAAATGTGAAACAATTAAAATTTATAACAAAACAATCTACGAAAAACAAATTTGACACACATGAAACCATGACACCCATTGAACCACAGGTTCTTCAAGTGTCTTGGGCAGGCACATACAGAAAGTGCACGTGGCGGAGTTTGACATGTATGTGAGCGCTAAACCCTAACCTAAACTCGGACTGTAATGTAACAGCACAACATAAGAAAATGTAAAAAAAAGTTCCAATAGGCTTAAATCAATAGATCGGTATTACTGGGTAGTATAAATCCATTGGTGATGATCTCGCGTGCTCCAGAAGGTTAAGCAGATTCTGCTCAACGTGTGGTAGCCGTCGTGTTATTCGTGAAAGTATAAACCCGGTGATTTGGTTTTATTTGGTAGTTCCCGTTCGAGGAAAAGATGACGGGGTTGAGGTACGAAAACTGGAACATATCCGTCGTCACTTGTGAAACAGATATTCCAAAAAGTTTGTTGTTTCAATTAGTGCGATATACATAAGAGTATGAAATTTATAATAATAACAGATTGATATTCGTATATGTTCAAATAATTATACACGCTAAAAAAAATAATAGAATTCATATTTTATAGAATTGATGTTTGTCGCTTATTCCGATCCCCCCATTTCCCTGTAACTTTAGTGAGAGTTGATTTAAAGTGTCTCATTGCCGACAATAAAGTACAAGTCTTTTGATTTTTGTGTTAAACCTGGGACATTAATGTAGCGGCAGTGAGACACAACAAACCTATATTTCGTTGTGGTTAGTGGCGTCGGCGTCTTCATCATTTAGATTGTCAGGTTTCTCGTTTAAATTGTTTTTCCAATTTTTCATTTCGGGACCTTTTATAGCATACTATGTGGTATGGGTTTTGCTCATTGTTGAAGACTATACAGTCAAATATAGTTGTTTAAAACTTCTACGTCATGTGGTAAATATTTGGTTGAGAGTTGTCTCATTGGCAATCATACCACATTTTCTTATTTCTATATAGGTTTTTTTTTTTGCATTAAATATTACCGAATTAGACTGTTTTGGTATGATAAATTTGAAAAACTCAATTGATTAGTATAACACTTGTATAGGAGTTATTCTTCAAGATCAAGATAAAGCATCTACAGAAAAAACATTTCTTTTTTTAATTTTGTATTTTCCGATAAATGTACAAATAAATGTACAGTCAACATTACGCTTTTACCGTGACTGACAGCAGCAATATCAGGCGAGACGAGAATTCCGTGGAATCTTTCACGAATTATTATATATACTGCTTCCAATTGAGAACTAAGAAAGAAAAAAAAAACGGCAGGACCAAATTGTTTAGGGATATCCCCCGTATGGCCGAACGACTGTAAATTGTTTAGTACTTTTTTCTTATTTTTGTCTGCCGTTCCCCTTTTTCATACCGAATAACTCTGAACAACAAGTTGAACTTTAATTTGAACTTGAACTCAATGGATGGCGAAACTCATTCAAAGGACATTAAACAAACGACATAGTGAAATCAGTTTAAAAATAGAACTAGTTTTTCCGAAATGGTCACGTGGTTTTACCTCCACACGTAATGTGATAACCACATCAAAGAATGACAGGACCACATCAAATACTGAAACAAACACATCATGTAGTGTCAAATCGTTAAATTTTAAAACATCATTGCGTAATGTTAAAACCATATAAAGAATTGGCAAATCATCCTTACGAAACAACAAAACCACATCATGTAATGAAACAACTACATTACGTTAAGTCACATACACATCAAGTAATGTTAAAACCACATTGCCTAATGAAACAACCACATTAAATAATGGTGAAACCACATCGACTAATGACAAAGCCACATTGATTAATGACAAAACCATATCAAGTAATGATAAAACTATATCAAGTCAATACGAAACCATATCGTGAAATATCGAAATAGCATTAAGTAATGACTATGCCATATTGAGTTATATCAAAACATCATTATGTAAAGACAACATATCATCAAGTAATAATAAAACAACATAACTTTATATAAGAGTTCCACATAAGACAGCTGTGGCGTTCCATAAGTAAATGTATTTTTCGATTATTTAATGATATTAGCTCTGAACATTTATTATTCTCTAAAATGAAACTGTTGTGTGTGCTGATATAAAGAATATTTCAAACAAATTCCTTTAAAGTTTTGTGAAAAGAGTTTTATTTTATGTATCGAAATGTATTTTAATCCCCACTGGAGGGCCTCTGACAGTAAAATCATTGTTATCGATAGGCGATGACAAACAATTTAAAGGTAAATGATTCAGTATTATTAACAACAAAAGTACTACGGTTGTCCACACTATTACGGGAATATCTCTATTTATCCATCATCGTTTTTTCTTCTTTGCCTAACAAAGCCGGATTGGTTTATACTTAGTACATTTTTTTTACATTTATAAGTTTCGGTAAGTAGCGACAAAAGAGGTCTATCTCCCAGCAAAGTGAACACACTGTTTAGGCAATTCCGTAAAGAACGAGCTGCATGTGTAAACCAGTTCTATCCAAAGCTACGGAGAGTCTCCTGACACCTTTCGCCTATTCATTGCATAAATTTCGTAGATGGAAGTTTTATACTTCAACACAATAACGATTGCTATCATGATCAATAAATATAAACATTCCTGGCATGGATTTTCAACAGATATAAATCAATATTTTCCTGTTTTGTGTTTTGTGTTTTGTGTTTCACGATTTATCACATGTAGCGGCTTCATTCGCTATGTTCTCATACTCGCTCATTCATTTTATCCAACTCCCCCTTTTAATGGTTCTACACATTTCTTAGATTCATTTACATGTCCCAATGGTTAAATAGCGTTCAGAAATAGTGTCAACTGGACTTTCCAAAGTAAGACACGAACTGGTAGCGTCCTTTTTGTGAGTGAGGAATGTAAAAATGAACAGCCACGTCGGATTGGAAAAGGTATGTTATAAGATGTCAGGTACATATAGAATGTGTTGGGGTTTTACATGTTTGCAAGCGCTCAACTCTCCCTTTACCTGGGGCAGTGCATGGTGTAACATCTTAAGAACAAACTGTAGTAATCAGTTGGAAATGGATTGACTCATCAGATTGGCACGAAGCACATTAACAAAAAAGACCCAACGTACCGATCTCCTATACATTTATTTCACTATCGAAGGTTTATATGCGTTCCTCTGTTTACTCTTTCATGACTTATGGAATTGTTTTCAAAAGCAGTTAGTTATAAGTTTGAGAGGATTTTATCATGAACAATCCTATTAAGTTCTAACTGACAAACAACGTAAGTCAACAGCTTTCTATTTTGAGAATTATAAATATAAAATCTAAATCTAGAAATGTCATCTTTATCTTGCCACATTGCAATGATTATTTCATCTCCTGGGAAGCTCTCTCCTAGATAATCCACGCTTAAAAATACCACAGGGTACCAGCATATATCTCCAGAGAAGTGAACCAGTATCTTCTTCAAACTGGCAGCAGAAGCACAATCAAAACAGCTCTTGATATAAAACGATTGGTTAGTATGAAAGTTCGTATCCATGTCGCCGTAACGAATGACAGTTCTGTATTTAAAAACTTCTTTCGGTAGGTCTGGTAGAGTATTTTTTAAAACTTCAGATGGAGAAGCTTCCATGTTTGCATACTTTTCTAAAAACCAAGCAGGATTTTGCAAGGGTCGGCGAGTGTTGTTATCAATCCTGAGAAATTTAACAACTCTCTCTACTAAAAATTGTCCGCTCTCTTTATCAAACAGTTTTGACACTGTAACTAGCGATGAACTCCCAGGTTTACAAAATGTTTTCGTTATTTTAAATGATATATTAGACATAAAATCGTAACTGTAAAACGATGGCTCGACCGTAAGGACTTGTTTGATTAGAACGAAAGACGTATCTTTTGATTGTAACTTTGGACGGTCATAAATAGAGCCATTTCTCTCGACCGACTCTTCTCCACCATCCATGAACAATGACATGTTCCATATGCTTAATTTTCCTACAGAAATAAATTGCAAAAATGTTACTCTTATTAATACTTCTTGTGTAATGAATACAATAATAACACCATATTGTTGTTATATTTTGTATCTTTTAATTTAAAATATATTCGAAACAGACACATTTAATCCTTCGAGTTGGAAGTCATCCTGTCGGTAGCTGGACTGTGCAGGTTTTCTTTATGTATTTTACTCTTACAACATATGAGGGTGGTGGATGGGGTTTACAAAATAGAGAATTATAGACAAAAAAATAAAGAATAGAGAAAAACGGGCCAAAAAACTAAAGAAAAGAGAATAATGGGGTGCTAAAATATAAAAATTACTGCATAAAACGAAGAATTGGGTAAAAATATACTGATTACAGGAAAGAACAATGTCTAGTATACAGTTATCAAGTAATTACAGAATAGCCATTATTTTTAAAGATAAAGAATAATGAGCGAAAAAAATAAAGAATACAGAAATGAAGGACCCCATCCATACCCTCACATATGATCTAGATAGGTAGACATTTAGCGCCTATACAATGTCAGACTGTGTATATCATGTGTTGTTCGCTGTTGTTGGTCTTTGTTGTAACATCTATTTTCATGGAGGAGTTCGGTGTCGTAAATTTTGTCTGTTGTCCTGTCCAAGATTTTTGATAATTCACGATATTCTGTTCATGTAGTATAAAATGCATTTACCAACCATTAACTCAATGGTTATCAGATTTGCAAAATCAGTCATGTTTTCATTTTCAATTTCACGCAACGGTTTGAAGCAGTAACCTAACGCACACCATCAATATGTCTTATGGTTTTATTATATCGTTTGGTGTCTCTCTAAATACAACGTATCTTTTATTCATATTGATCACGAGTAAACTTTCCGGACGTCTACTTAAGTGATATTAACCTCTGGGTGTCTTTTGAGTATTTGTGTTGGGTTGCTGTCCCATTGACATATACCCAACATATCCTTTTGTTTATATATACAAATACATTTTAAGATTTTTCATTCAAATAAAACAGTATAGAGTTAATTATCTTTTTTTTTTCGATTATAAATTGAAGTTCATGTTCAATATAAATAAAAAGGAGATGTGGTATAATTGCCAATGAGACAACTATCCACCAAAGTTCAAATGAAGTGGATGTAAGCAATAATAGGCAACCGTACGGCCTTCAACAATGAGAAAAATCAAACTGTATGCAAAATCTGATAATCTGTGACATCCCAAATTATCGGTTATCGGAAATAATTTGTGTTGTTTCATTGATTTGTTGTCGATACTATTCATTTTAATCGGTCATATATTTTCAATTACTGAAAATAAAAAATATATATTACATATGTAGGACTCTAAAGTGCGATGGGGACGCTAACATGCGATGGTCACGCTAAAGTGCGATGGTCTACGCTAAAGTGCGATGGTTTGATACGCTAAAGTACGATGGTCTGTGTTATGAAATGAAACACGCTAAAGTCCGATGGCTCAATACGCTTAAGTGCGTTTTCCCGACAACAATGGAAATCAACAAAAATTGAAAAAGCGGATTACCTTAATAGTGACGATGTGTATGAAACACTTTGAAAACCATATTTTTCAGTAGTTCGGTAAAATTAATTGATTAAGTAATATAAACTTATTGTTGCTAGTTGAACGTACAGTGGCAAATTTCACATGCATATACAGGACGATCCTACACATGATCATTTGATCATTTATTCTGAAATAATTTTAGTATTTCTACTATTCATGTTAAGGTTACAAAATATAATTCAACTTAAGAGGAAAAGGAGATTCTGGAGATGGCTCACTTGGATGTTGAGGAATTAAATTCGTCCAATTTTAATTTAGCAGCTTCTTCTATGTTTGTCTGAATCAGATGTTATGAACTTGCGTGAAATAAAGTCTTTTTTTTACTTTCTAATGGAATCATTCTATAAAACATTTTATTTTACAATATGGTTCGTTATTTCTGTTAAAGATATGGATATACGCCAACTAGACAATAACCTAACGACCAGATAGACCAAATGTGTTTAATGTAAGCAACGATAGGTTACCGCATGCCTTTAACGCGGAGCATTGGCTTTCACCGCATAGTATTCTAACTTGAACGTATAATTATACTAGCAGCTGCAATGTACCCATTACACTTTTTTGACAACTATCGTACTTTGAATAAAAAAATGAGACACATATATACCCAAGACCAAATGTCGTTTATATATGCAACTAATAACTACGGCCTTTAAGATGGAGCCTTAGCCTGCGCCGCATAGCAATCTATACATTATATATACATAGGGCCACACAATGTCCAGTGTAAATTTAAAAACAAATAAGAAGAGAAAGACAACGGCTTGATTAATAAACATAATGATAAACGAAAACTACAATAATAGAAACACAGAAACAAACGAAAACCATTGCCGCAACCCCATTCCAGTTACACCATTGCACTTTAGCGTGCTATACCTTCGCACTTTAGCTTGTCATACCATCGCACTTTAGTGTTTGACAGCATCGCACTTTAGCGTATAACATCGCACTTTAGCGTGACCATCGCACTTTAGAGTACCATCGCATATTAGAGTCCTACATTTATAAGTTGATGTGTTTATTTTATTCATTCTCGCTTATGTTTGTATTACTAGCATGAAATTTTTTATTTTTTTTGAATCATAAAAACGAAAAAAAAATGTAAGTTCATTACTTGACTCTGACTCGATACATAGTTTTTTCGATAATCGAAAACTTAACCGATGATAAGCATTTCATCCACTTCAGTTGAACTTTGGTGGATAGTTGTCTCATTGGCAATCATACTACATCTCCTTATTTTTCTTCTGATAATAATAAAAGCATCTATAGTTGTGGACACTTTTCGGTAACAGTTTCTCACCTGTTCTATCATCATAATTATAGTCGAGTCCATGTGCTGTGACCTCAGCATATCCATCTGTAATTTTATCGATGATATATCTTCTCATTCTGAACAAGTCTGAGAAATGTTGACGTTGGAACCAATATCTACCCGCACCGAACAGTAAAAACTTGTAGTTCATCAAATTTGGTAAAAAAAAATGGATACCTGAGAAAAATTTTCAAAACATGTTACTGCTTATCAACATTATTACAATGATTTTAAAGGAAAATGTCTGGATAACTAGTTAAAAATTTGGTTACATAAATTATGCATCTTTCAAAAATTTCAAAACTTTGATATTTCAACATCTATAATAAGTAGATCCCAAGGAGACTTGGGACATAGAAAATTGATCACTCTGGTCTTCTGCCGATCGGCAGTAATACCATTGCCTCGTTTGGCTGTTCGGGATGCATAAATTCGCAGCCACGTCCGGTCAGAATAGGGCAAAATTTCTGTCCCTATATATATCCATTATACCATTGTTCGCTAGTGGCAGTATAAATTGACCACCCTTCGTCCCTGTCGTCCCACCCTTCATCCCTGTCGTACCACCCTTCGTCCCTGTCGTCCCACCCTTCGTCTTTCGATCGGGGCCCAAAATTAATGTATATGGAATGGAATGGAATGGAATGGAATGGAATGGAATGGAATGGAATGGAATGGAATGGAATGGAATGGAATGGAATGGAATGGAATGGAATGGAATGGAATGGAATGGAATGGAATGGAATGGAATGGAATGGAATGGAATGGAATGGAATGGAATGGAATGGAATGGAATGGAATGGAATGGAATGGAATGGAATGGAATGGAATGGAATGGAATGGAATGGAATGGAATGGAATGGAATGGAATGGAATGGAATGGAATGGAATGGAATGGAATGGAATGGAATGGAATGGAATGGAATGGAATGGAATGGAATGGAATGGAATGGAATGGAATGGAATGGAATGGAATGGAATGGAATGGAATGGAATGGAATGGAATGGAATGGAATGGAATGGAATGGAATGGAATGGAATGGAATGGAATGGAATGGAATGGAATGGAATGGAATGGAATGGAATGGAATGGAATGGAATGGAATGGAATGGAATGGAATGGAATGGAATGGAATGGAATGGAATGGAATGGAATGGAATGGAATGGAATGGAATGGAATGGAATGGAATGGAATGGAATGGAATGGAATGGAATGGAATGGAATGGAATGGAATGGAATGGAATGGAATGGAATGGAATGGAATGGAATGGAATGGAATGGAATGGAATGGAATGGAATGGAATGGAATGGAATGGAATGGAATGGAATGGAATGGAATGGAATGGAATGGAATGGAATGGAATGGAATGGAATGGAATGGAATGGAATGGAATGGAATGGAATGGAATGGAATGGAATGGAATGGAATGGAATGGAATGGAATGGAATGGAATGGAATGGAATGGAATGGAATGGAATGGAATGGAATGGAATGGAATGGAATGGAATGGAATGGAATGGAATGGAATGGAATGGAATGGAATGGAATGGAATGGAAGTGAATGGAAGTGAATAGAATAGAAGTGAATAGAATAGAATAGAAGTGAATAGAATAGAATAGTGAATACAATACAATACAATACAATACAATACAATACAATACAATACAATACAATACAATACAATACAATACAAAATACAATACAATACAATACAATACAATACAAAATACAATACAATACAATACAATACAATACAATACAATACAAAATACAATACAATACAATACAATACAATACAATACAATACAATACAATACAACAATACAATACAATACAATACAATACAATACAATACAATACAATACAATACAATACAATACAATACAATATTTTTATTTCCCAAAATCACAGGGCCCATAAAGGGCATAAAATTGATTGTCATAATTAATAACTACAACAATAAACATCACTGTGTACATGTATATTTAGTATATTAGTATCGCTCAAGAACCAGAGCCATCAACCATATTAATTATGAATGCACAATTAAATAATAAAAGTACATTATATGCATTCGTTATAAAATTATTTACTTGTATTATTATACAGACCTGATCTCCTTAATTCAAAACACTCACCAATATAACAGCCCATTTTTTCCATAAGAGAAATACATTTCCTTGTGTCAAGAGCCATAAAAATTTGAAAGATTTATTTAAGTTTTTAAGTTTTTAAAATTAAAACAAAAGTTAGAAACGTATTGAAAAAATCTCCTCTTTTGATATCATATAGTGGACATTCTAATAAAAAATGAAGCTCATCCTCAACTTTACCAAGTGAACAATTTAAACAAAGACGTTCTGATCTATCTATACGTTTTTTGAATATCTGTTAAAGAGTAAATCCTGTAGTTCTAAATATTTTTCATTTTTAAAACAATCTTTTATAGAAAAATAAGTATCAAGCTTCCCTTTTTCTGAGTTAATTGTTTGATACTTCAGTATATTCAAAAATGTTAAATAAATTTCACATAGTTTATTTTTAACATACTTACTTAAAGAACCAATTGGTTGGTCAAAATTGGATAATTTAATCCCTTTCTGAATGTAATCTATACTAGAGTACCATGTATTAACATTAGAAATATGTAATTGTTTACAACATATAAATGCATCATATAAATAACCTTCCAGTCTATGACAATATTTTAACATTGATAAAATTATAGTAGAAAAAATAGGAAATCTACCAAGCTCTGACATCACAGCTATGTTACTAGCCTTTCTATTAAAAGCATAGGCGGATCCAGGTGGGCCTCCCTTTTGTGGGGAAAATTTGGTTGATTATATAGGGAATCACTGAAGCATGACTGGAGCGGGCACCCTCTTAGGGCAGTTAGTGGGCCCCCTTATGAAAATTTCTGGATCCGCCACTGAAAAGTATAGATACGCTACATGAACACATAATAAAATGATTTTACAAAACTTTATATTTAAGGTTCATGTGGACCCTTTGGCTAAAATGGCTGCATTTTCACCTCAAAATTTACTCTGAGGACAGACAAACCTGCGCATCTGGAAAAGTTTTAAGGCATAGCATGCCCTAGATAAATAAACTTCTAATGCATTGTATGTTTTAGAAAATTTAAAACTTAACTGGATTTAGCAGTGCACTTTTTTCGTCCCTGCAGAAGATGATAAAATTAACAAACAGTTGAGTTTCACTTGATATGGTCCACTCAGGTACACAGTTTAAATCACCAATTATTGTCAGGTATCTATTGTCCATCTATTGTCCATGTCAATCAAAACAGTTCACTTCAATTATTACCTGTGGGGAAGTTCTCAAACCTCTTTCCCAACGTTGTTTATTTTGGCACCTTCTGGTGGAATGAAAAAAGTGCACTGCAAAATCCGGTTAAGTTTTTAATTTTCTAAAACATAAAATATATTTGAATTTTATTTATCTAGGGCATGCAATGCGTTAAAACTTTTCCAGATGCACAGGTTTGTCTGTACTCAGAGTAAATTTTGAGGTGAAAATGCAGCCATTTTAGACGAAGGGTCCACATGAACCTTAAGTTCTTCTATACTATGCCGACTTTTACTGATATCAATATCCAACTTATATTAAAATGCGTATTTTGCTAAACATAATACAACTCACCTCAATATTATCTAGACTATCTAATATTTCACGTCCTAAAATATGACCCTGAAAGCGTGGACACAGAATCTGTGTATTTTTATAATCAGATTGAATACACAATCTGAGTGTCAACAGAAAGTAAGTCATCCAGGTATCCTCTATTATTGTTAAAATTGTGAGTGGCGGATAATGTTAGAATAAAGATACACTTCTAAGGGGACGACCATTTGATATTCTGGGGGGGGCCAGGAGGATTTTGAAAATAAATAACTCAGCCTTGATAATCACAAAAATAAATGGTTTGTTCTGTGGTAGTTTGAAAATAAATGACCTGACTTGCAATGTATTGAAAATAAATAACTCAGCAGGTCTAATCGAAAGTATGAGATGGCACCAGATTCTTCATAAATTAATCTTTTTTCCAAAAAAAAAAATCGGGAAACACTTCCCATATCTTTTAATAATAAAAGTATAGATATTATTTAAATATACTTGAAATGTCAGAAAATTGGTTTCATTTAACTTGAGGTTAATTGTCTCAGGAACACTTACCTCACTTTTATTAAATCAGGGCCGTAACTACATTGAGACAAATGCCTCATGTAGGAAATTTCAAAACCAAACGCTTGTCTCCATATCAAATTGTGTTCACCGTGAGTGCCTTGCAAGAAGCAAGTTCTGTTCTCCCTCAGACGTAGCCCCTGATTTTTCGGGATCAATATTTCTTATTTATTTGTCTTTTGTTCATTGATTGCCCTTCTGTATTCTGTTAGTGTTGCATTCATTTTGTAATTTAGTAATTTTATTATTAACTTGATCATGAGTTTAAAAAAACACAGCAGCCACAGACTTAACTATGTGAATTACATTTTTGCTTTTAATATCATGCATATTTGTCTTTTGATGTTGTTCCTAGAAACTTAAGTCTTACACTGAATCTATAACGTGATTTTGCTTTGAGACCAAAATATTGTCATAAAATTATTAAAACAGAACTTGCATTTTCAGTTTAAGAAAGGGTCTGGGGAACACCCAGAAGGCATGATTTTGCATCATTTGTTCTATAGCTTCTTGGGCCTTCAGCGTTTCAAAAACCCTTCAAAAAAAATTTTGCCTCGCTCCGCTCGGCGAAACACGTTTGCCAATACTTTTAGAAGAGCCTTAGTTTCAACAAAACTTGAATACTGTCTATGTATGCAATACATGTATATGCATTGGGGGATATAAAAAGATTCATTTCTGCAGAGGATAATAATTAATTCTGATTAAATGGTACATAATGACTTGACTATACATGAATTATTTATAATAAACAAATAATTTAAAAATTGTATGTTTTCGAATATTATAAATATAGTTGTGAAAATAAATAATCAGTCCCTTGCTTTAATGAAAATGAAAAATCTTGCTTCAATAGTGCAGAAAATAGATAATCTGTCCTCTTAGTTTACAAAAATAAATAACCGATCCACAACAAATCCTCCTGGCCCCCCCCAGAATATCAAATGGTCGT